CTTCTCTTTGCAGTTAAGAAAGGAACTAGAGAGTAATGCTGAGAAGAAGTGATGTGAGCCCTTGTTATCTCTTTTATCCTAAGATCAAAATCTTCTATCGCAGTTTTCTCTATGTTGACATTAGCCAAAACCTTTTGAGTTCTGCAGTCTTGTGTCAAAGTTTGATATGGTTCTTGGCTTCACTTGTTATGGACCTTTGGATTTCTACATTCCAGTTTAAAGCAGTGGCCACATGTTTCTTTTACTCGTCTTGTCCGAAATAAATATAGATTGAATAGGCTGATTCAACAACAATCTTTAGCTGTATCTAATCAACCATCGCCAAAGAGATAAGAGATTATTAACTAGTCATTGTTACAATTTTGGACAATGTGTGGATTATTTTTAATGGTGGCTCTTGTTGCTGCTAAACTGGTTCATCCTCCAATTGCATGTAGTCAAGAGTTTAGTTATTGTCGTGGGAAGCATTTGCTTGTTTCCTGGCTCTCTGTCTCGCGACTTGTTGTGGTTTAATTTGCACGCATTGATAAATATTCTTGATAATTCCAATGAAGTAATGAAAACAAAAATATTCTTGATGGAAGAGTGAGCAAGTAAAGCAAATCATGACCTAACAACACAAAACCTGCGACTTGATTTTAGTACCATCAATCAAATGCTCATGCCCCTACAAACTTGGCGAGTAAGGTGCTCTTGCCTAAAGAGAAGAAAGAAAAGACAAAAACTTCATCTACTACGGCACTACTACCCTCACAACTCTGGTTCAAAAAACGAAAACAAAAAAAAGAAGCAAATCCCGAACGCGAAACCAAACTAAAGAAATGCTCAAAATAGCCTAAAACATAGCACCCAGTTACCACCTCCAATCCAAAAGATTGGTTCATCAGGCACAGGCAGTAGCAACTGATCCATTCTCTATCACCGCTTTTGGTTCTGCAGTCACTTTAGTTGCATCTCCTAGTGCTGCTGCGTCTTGTGAGGCTGTAGTAGACTCTTTGGGTTTCTCATGGATATCTTTTGGTACATTATTGCTTGCCTTGACTTCATTGGCTACAGAAGCCTGCTGTATACAATACCAACATTGTTAGATTATTTCCTTTATATTTATGGATCCAGATTCACCAAAATTAGCTTCAGAGAGATAGTTTTGCCTGTTTTTTGTACTGCATGTGTTTGCTTTTTCCCTCTTGGATAATCTTTTGACGATTCTCGTAGAACACAAAATCATCAAGGATGCATGTCTTGCTTACGTGGTCCTTGAAAACCTTGATGACTTTGATGCCTTGCTCTAACTTGACCTGCAGATAAAAAAACAAATGAGCATTTTGATGAAACACAAATGACAAATCAATTGTGAGAATCCAAAAAGAGTTAAATAACACAAGAGAGCAGACGGACCTCCTGTGTGTCTCTGCTATTTGTAACCGGCTTGTTCTCATTGTTCTCCAGAGTTATATGCCTCAACGAACCATTTGGGATATCCTTCACGATATGCCACTTAACAGGGAAGCAACCAATCCATTTGTCCTGTTGCCAGTACTCCAAAGTCTTGTTAAAATCGACTGGGCCAACCATCTCAGCTAAACCAACAAATTGTCCACTAGTGTTTACCTGTAAAACTTACACACATAAGAACTCTTCCACTGAAAATTAAATACCAACCAGGTTGATGGAATAATGAATAATGAAAGATTATTAACCACTCACAGAGAATAGTAGAAATATGGGGCAGCCATTTGAATTCTGCTTTGCCTCGTTGTATGAAGCATCCAGCTTCTTATTACCATTAGGAGTGCTGGACCAGACACTGTATTTGATACTTTTATGAATATCATCTTCGCTATACGATTTTATTACAAAGAACTTTGCTTCTGAATAGGTCTCAGGGAAATCCTTCTTATTGTAGTCCTTCAGATCTGAAAGAGAGACTTCCTCGATAGGTTTCTCAGTCTCTGTCACTGTCTGCTCCTTAGAAGACGTAGTCATCAGCTTTGAACCCTCTTGGCTCTTGAAACCCTTTGCTCGTGGTCCCCTATTCAACTCATTTAATCCCTCAATGTTTTCTTTGCCATATCCAAAACTTTTTGTCTTGTAACGATTGTCAACCGCATACCAATTAGGCATGTGTTTCCAAGCGTCATAACCATAAGAGCCATACACATATCCTGCTCCAATGCTGTTCATGTAAGGTCCATACATCCCATAATTCGAATAAATGTTGTCCATGTATCCATAAGATTGAGCCGCACCAGTTGATTTACCCTGAGGCTGACCCAACAATCATTAAATAAACAAGTCAAGATTACATAAGCAAGTTGTTATGAACCCAACAGGACGATGAAATAAGAACATACAAGGTACTGATATTGAAGACTGTTGGTCTTTCCCGACGAATAGCTCCCATTGTAACCATATCTTGGGTACTGATACGCTGGAGAATAGTACCCATAAGAGTAGGCACCACCTTTGCCATATGAACCCTTTGTGTTATAAGCAGAGTTTTGGTAACCGAGTTTCTTCGGATTCAATCCCTTCTCTTGGATTGAATCTCCATCTTTAGACAAAAGACTAGGTTTACCAGTCTTGGTAGCCTCCACTAGCTTCTCATCAAGTAAGAACCCGTTACCGTTTCCGCCGAAAGCCCCCTGCAACTAAAATGAACACAAGCCTACATAAGTCCACTCTAGAAATTACGTTTATCGAACATCTGAACAAAGATCCACACAAAATTACCTTATTTTCAGATTCAGTAGCTAAAGTCTTGGTCTTTGGATCAATAGACAAATTGTGCAGCACATCTGAAGCATCTGTATTATACCAAAAACCATAAAGGAATAAAAAAGTGTTACGATTTACCACAAAATCTACTAAAGATCACAGATTAGCGAAAGAGATTCTTAATCAAACCCAGATGTACAATAAACTCAACAAAGATGATTTGCCATAAACCCTTAAAGTAAAAACAAAAAACAATTAAGGACATCGTAGAACAAAGAAAGATTCGGAAGAAGGAACAAAACAGAGCGATAAAAGGAGAAAACTGTAAACCCTTAGAACAAAGAGAAACCATTTTCGTTCTTGACAAAACCCTAAGGAAGCATAGGAGAATACA